ATTAGTATATTTGAAGATATGAGTTTCCTTAGAACACAGTTTGAAAAACACAAAATTAAAACAAATCAATGACTGATAATAAGGCAAAGAGACTATTAGGTTGGGGTGCATTAGGAAGGATGAATGTAGGTAGGAAAACAAAGACAGATTTTTTTTTTCTACTTTATAATTTTGTTAAAAAATATCATGTCATTGGTTACAGATTCCTGGTTAAAAGGCAGACCCTGAAAGTAAGGATGCATGATCTACCCTATAATTATTTGTCCCTTTCCAAACAATATCAACCTCAGGCCCATTTCTAGAGCATTATAAGGTCTCTGTCAGACTCATTCTCACAGTGACCAAAAGAAGCAGAATGAAGCAGAAAGCTATTATCGCTCATAGGATTTGTAAGTCTCTCCCCACTATGCAAAGTAGTTAGGGAGTCAGGAAGTAAAGAACTTGGTGAATGGCTGACCATCTTTATTAATGATCGTTTTTGTGCTACTGATATCAAATGCAACTTAACTTACCAGCTCTGCAATTCAGCAAAAGCTTGTTTCATTTTCTTAATGGAAGCATCCATCTCTTCTTTAACTACAACTCGATACCGTGCAAGAGACACTGTGCAGCGCTGGAGGTCTTTCACAGATTTTTCAATATTGGAACCTTGGAAAGAAGCCCAAGGATTAATAAAAAGTATAGGTAACTTGAAAGATGGATCTGAACTCCTAAGCATGTAAAGTAGCAAATGTGTGGACTAAGAATGTTTCCTAAATGGCCACCCTCCTCAACAAAAAACTGATCTTTTCATAGATTTAAAAAAATAAGTATCCCGGCCAAGGTGAATAGGAATTGGATTTACCCTCCTGCCTTAAACAACACCCTCTCCCATACACACACAATCAGAAACAATGGTTTTCAGACAATGAACAACAAGCAGTACTTTTTCCCTGAAAAAACAGAAACAAAAATGAGGCCTATGATTGCCCCAACTTACTGCCTCAAGAGAGTTTCCAGACTGCAATGCAAGGAGAAGAAATCCTAAACTTAGCCTGGAAGTCTCCCTGAATTGAGGGGACAGCGTTGAGAATTCAGGGAGGCCAAAGTTAGAATTCTCAGGGCAGAGTACTGGAGAGGAGAGAGGTACACAAAGAGGAAAGAGCTGTACAGAGATCTACAGAGGATTCTGAACATATGAGTGTGAGGAAACCACACACGACAGGGAGAAGAATCACTGGAAAGGAGCAGGTGGAACAATCCCCAGACCTCACCCAGGGCCAGGAATAGTTCATGTTCATACCAGCCACAGTGGGGCACTAGGCAGAGCACTTGGAAGGGTACTGCCTCAGTAATGAGGCAAAACTAGCTCTAAAATAAAGGCTGCTCTAGTTCCACCTAACAAAGCTTAAAAGTCTCAAACTGTTTCCAAATAACAATCCCAGAACAAATCACAAGAATATTTTTAAACATACAAAAATATTTAGCAATCAACAAAGCAAAATTCACAAAGTCTGGCATCCAATAAAAAATTACTAGGCATTTATAAAAGGCAGCAAAAATAAGACCCATAATGAAAAGTCAATTAAAAGAAACAGATGCAGAAATGACACAGATGCAGAATCAAGTAGATGAAACATCAAAACAGCTAATGTAATCAGATATCATATGTTCAGGAAGGTAAGAGGAAAGC